CCACCGTGAAGAAGCCAGACTTCCATTCGCCATTCTTGTCCTCGCCTGCTCCGCCTGGTATTGAGCTTCTGGATGAGACTTCTGCGCACTCCGAAACGCGGCCAAGGCCTCAAGGAACGATGACGACGGCTCAGTCTTTGTGAAATCCTCGCTGCTACACACGTGTGTTTGTGTCGGTCCCAAAATCACATTCTGGCCCACATCTGCTGCAAACAGCATGCTTCAACCGTACCGCCCTTCTCCAGCAGCACTTGAGACGATGCAGGCTGTGCTGGAAAGAGGCCGTCACAATCGCCTGCTGGCAAAGGCATTAATAACTTATGCAAGCAAACGCTGCCGCCAGAATGCCTGGCTTCGGTGCCGACTTTTTTGACGAAGCTCGCGAACAAGATCTCTATGCGCAATGCTCCCGGGATGGGAAATGCGTTAAGAATTCTGGGTGTATATAACCGCATTAGAGCGCGCCAGAATGTGAGAGCCGTGCGCACAAGATGCCCAGCTCTCCTCTGCGACAGTGGTTTCTGTCGAGAGAACGACTTGGAGACAACTACGGTGTGGAGTGCTGTCTCGTACTGGAACATGTACGTCGTCTCACAGATGCTCGGGCTGGAACATGTGGCTGAAGAAGGCCACCCTCCTACGGGAAAGGATTCAAGGGAAGAAGACTTCCTAAACCGATCTCTATGCCCGGACATCGTCCCAGCTTCTCGAGACAAAGGACCCGAGTCGTCCTGACGTGCATCTGTCGTTAGAGGAGTCGCGGCAGATTGAACGAGGCCTTCGCTGTGGAAAGCGTAAGCTCATGTTCCTTTACAGCTTTCTGACAACGCAGGGAGTCGCACTGTAGACTGTGGGGATTTCCCTGCCGCGAGGCGAAAAGAAGCTTCCATGAGCTGTTAAACCTTCTAGACGACTTGTGCTTAAGCCGGACCGGAAAATCCATCGAAGCTTTGAGAGCCATCGCTCACGGGAATGTGATACCGCCAATGCCTGATTCGAGGAAAGTGAACATGCGGTCAGAATCAGTCCGGCTATTTCTATGCTGCCCATCGACACATAGCTTGAAACTTGGTCATGAGGATAAGTCGGATAAGGTCAGAGAATCATTCGCAGGGTTCTGTTTCCCCAAAAAGCCCTCAAGCTTGGCCTAAACCCCTGAAGCTCAAGGCAAGGAGAAGGAGGGAGTGACATGCTCAATCGAAACTCCCCTGTAAGCTGTCAAGAGACCTTTTGTCAGCCGGAGTTGAAACTTAAAGCCCGGAGGCCAGCGCCAAGAGCCGGGAGCAGCGCGGCGCCCTGAAGTGGTGGCATCTCGTGGCCTCCGAGGCACCGGAGCTCTCTAAAGACGGTGTTGGATGGCACGCGCAGGGCCAGTCATACCAGCGGCACCTTCACGGTCAACTTCCATGCAGAGAGATCCATGCGTGTGTTTGTTCGCGAGTTTGGGCTCCAAAGTTAGAAACAGTTAGAAGCACATGGTTCCTGGCATGCTGCAGCAATTCCAAGGTTTTGGCCCATGCTGTGTCACTGGAATTAGAACTTGATGGCATTCTGCACATTTCGTTCCGGAGCCGGCGCTGGCTTGGAAGTGCAGCAGCTGTTGGCGGGCGCCGTTCGGCGCGTGCCCGTGTGCCACAAGGATGTATCGCCAGGACTCGGGAGAGAGTTCCCAATATGCTCATTGCAAAAATGCTGCAAGCTCGAGCCGGTGCGTCTTCACCACTTCCGGGGGATGGGTGTTCCTCACACTTGGTCCATGTTTCTCATTTTAACATACCTGTGACATCCTTTGATAAATTGGCCTTGTCATGCCCAGAGGAGGCGCCGATGCCAGGTGGGGCTCGGTCACCGTGGCCGTGCTCTTGCTCCTCGGCGAGTCGGCCCTGGCAATCTTGGGCTTAGCTGTGGAGCCCTGGCTAATGATGCCCAGGCTGGTTCGAGGTCGCAGTCGGAAGCAACACAGGGCAAGGCTCTGTGCCCAGAGGTCGAAGCTGGAGGTGGGACTGATACCGTTACTGTAGACTGCACGCTTATAGAAGTAAGCCTGGCATGAATTGCCAGGACACTTTGACGCGGGACAGGGTCTGCGAAGTGGTGGATGAGTATGGAGCGGCTTGGGAGAACCAAGATCCTGCCAGGACTGCGTGCAAAGTCATGCATGCCGTTGCTTCCGACTCCAAATCCATCGCTGTGCTGTTTGGTACTAGGATCTGCGCTCTTTTTGCACGCGATGCCGTCTATGTGGAGCGAAGCTTTGACAAGCGGAGCACATACCGTGGGCGTCAGGACGCATGTCGTGAAGAAAGCAGTATAGCATCCAGCATCCGATTGGGCACGCTCACTGGGTTGAGCGTCTCTATCTCGAGTTGCAAACCGTTTTCGCTAGATAATGTGTGTGGACAGTCGCCAGGCCATTCGGGACTATTGGGAAGTGCAGATTGCGGGCAAGCAGTCGAACATCGGCTTTCGACATGTTGTTGGCGACATGGTCTTGGACTCCGAAAACCGCAAGGCAGTCGTGAAATGGCTGGCCGAGTTTGACAACGTTCGCTATCGTGCCCCAGCTGTAACGTGAGCCGATCTGTGTTCAAAAAAAGATGCTACTCGTACCAGTCCCAGCACACCCAGGAGTGAAAGACAAGCAGAAGAGATGCCACTTCGTTCAAGTGGCGATTTTGGAGTTCTCTGCCGACCTGAAGGACGGCGGATGTTCAAAACCATCAGACCATCTTGCAGTGAGCCTTACTCAATAAGTTAATATATAGCGCATAAGTCTGTATATGTATACACATATACAACACATTCGATTTGTTACAAAGATGAAACACAAGATAATATACAATCTAACTTTAAATCATACAATACATAATGCCTTGCTGGAGGAGCTCCTGTACTTGGAGGAGTACATGCAGAGTGTGGCCGGAGCAGGGTTCCGGTGGCCAGGCTTGGCTACCCCGGAACCTCAAATGCGGGCAATCCTGCGGATGGAGCCGGCACCTTGTCTTCCAGAACTGCTCATGATTGCCTTTCGAGTTATGTGTCTGGCATGCTGCAGATCATGAGAGCAGGAATCCTTCGGAACTCCACCGTCGCCATCACGATGCCAGCGCTGTGGTGTGGCTTTTCCCTCGAGAAATGCACTTTTCCGGCACATCCGCGAGGGGTCTTGCTACGAAAAGAAACCGCCTGCCCCACCCTCCATCCTTTCAAGGGAGTCGCGAAGGCATGTTGCCTTGACGGTGTCTTATCATCACTGGGAGGACCGCCTGTGGAAGGAGCTGGTCCGTGCGGCCTGGACAGCATTTCCGCCCAGCCAAGCGGAAAAGAAGAAGCAGCACCCGTCACCTCGACTTTCCGGTGCCGTGCCGTCCAACCGGATCGCCAATGCAGTGGTGAACGTTTTCGGCCTGCGCCTTCCGAAATGTGCCGAGGGGATTCCGGATGCAGAGGTGGGCCAACGCATTCAGGAGGAGCTCACTGACGGCCCGAACTTCCGTATCCTTGCATGCACGGGCGTCGACTCTGGTTTCCATGCTTCGTGCTTCTGCGAAGTCCAGCGGTATGAAGTCATGGTTCCTTGGTCAGTGCTGGAACCCGATGATTTCCGCCCAAGCATTCTGCAAGGCTGCGAAGAGTCAGCCGTGCACTTCGACCGTGAGCTTGCAAAGCGTGTGAAGCGCGGGATCCAACACTTCCGGCCCGGGCCCCGCTGCTGGCGCAACTTCTGCGAGAAAAGGAGCGTGGGCAGAGGGGATCTGCCCGAGTTTGCCTTGAACCGCTTCAGAGCCACGGTGGGCCCGGATGGGTGGTTTATCCTCTCCTTGGGAGTGCAGAGTGCGTTGCCTGGCATGGTGGAGCGGATCGTCAGAGGCCTTGTCCTGTGGACTCGTGGCTTTGCACCCGACGACTTTCTGAAGCTGGCTTTTTCCGGCGTTCCTGTCCCGGTGCCGAAAATCCCCAGCTTCTGTGTCTATTTGCGGGCTCCGCACATGTATCGATATGAACACAAGTACAGCATCAGCCTGACCAACTGCGATTTGATCTTCAGATGCAGTTTTGAGCTGAAGCATCGGGTGCAGGCGCACATTGCGATTCCAGGGTTGCACCACCTTGCAGATTGCACCAAAGTTCTGTGATCAGGCTTGTGTGAATGTGTGTGACCTGTGCACATTTCACGTATAGGCCCTGCAGTCTGACCAAGGACAGACGATTGTTTGCAAGCGATGCGGCAAAGAATTGTTTCAGAGGAGCAGGCAGCTGGGACACTTCAAGCCTGGTCGGATGGCCTCCGTACATGGCTGGAGTCTACATGAGTTCCGGCCAGGAAGAGCAAGACCATGTGCTTCACCGCTAGTACTTCAACGGGTCCAAGGAGGGCAAGCAACAGCCGACTCTCTCGGCCAGCCGACTCGTGCCGTGAACGTGGGCCAGGAGGTCACATACAATCGTGCTGGATTGGCAGCGCACGACAGAAGGATCGCACATCGTCATCCCCACATATCCCCACCCTATGTCGAGTTCTGTGCCGGCGAAGCATGAGACGGGGAGAGATGGGGAGTAGAAGTTCGTCACCGGCAGCAGTTGCACCAGTCACTAGTCACTACTCCAATCCGTGCTGCTGGAAAAGGAGATTCTCGGACTTTCGGAGCCCACCACTCCTGACATTTATGCATCCGTACTGATTGGATCTGCGTCAAAACCAACACATGGCTCGTTGGAATTCGGGGCTTGGAGGATTTGCTGCAGTGTTTGCAGGACTCGATCCCTCTTCATGCATCACTTACGTAGCCAAGCCCGAACTGCACCAGACTAAAAAAAATTGCTCCTTCCCTCTGCCCCTGCACTCCGGGGTGCACCTGGAGGTACGCCGCGAGCAGCGAAAAGATGCTGCAAACGCGCCGAGTGCAGAGCGCGACAGTGAGAGGCTCTCTCCGATTGAGATCTGTCGCTAGTTGTGTTTATTGGGTGGTGGGCCCGGAGGCATGAGCAAGTGCTCCGAGTTCGACGCCGCGAGTTTCTCCACCACTGGCGGGAGGCAGTGGCTTTCTAGCAGGGCTGCTTGCAGCCCAGGGCCGTAGATTTGCGAATTGCGAGCCTGGCAGACTTCCGTTGCTAGGGCATCGATGTTTAACTTGCATCATTTGCCCGTTGGCTCTTTTACCCAGAGTCATACGAACATGTCACATGCAATAATATGTACAGTACATCACAGGCAACGCATACGCAATTCAAAGCACACACTTTGTGTGTGCAGTTTGTCCAAGACGTTCATGCTTGCCTGCATGCAGGCATATATGGACATACACTACACACATGGACAGACACACATGCATGCATTCAGATCTACACACAGGCAGAATCTCTCCGATTTCTGGCGAAGTGCGAAGCTTGTTTGCCAGCTGCGAGGCACTGCTTTTCAAGCGTGCACGGATGTGGCAGCTGCAGCGGCCCCGCCTGGTCATGGACATTACTGGGCAGGTTGGCTCGGTCAGGATGGAAATCTGGGAGTTCTTTGAATGAGGTGAAGGACCCAGCAAAGACTCTCGGGTCGGGGAATCTGGATGCTTGGATGTGTGGGAGTTTTTCTTGCCTGGGAATGGCTGCATAAGCTGCAAGCTTGCCCTCGGCAGACCATTCTCGCGGCCTCCTTCCTCGTTCTCGCGCAGCGTGCTCGCCAAAGGCGTGAGATTTCTGCAAGTAATAGACTCAATAGACCAAGCTCAGCTTGCCTGCAAGTTGAGGGCAGCAAATCGCGATTGTCAGTACGCGCTCCACTTGCTGTCATACCTTGCAGGGGGCGTGGGTTCTACCTCTCTCCCTATACTCGTTTGCGCCACCACTCCAGCTTTCTCCGTGCTTTGTCTCAGGCGAGCTGCTCGCAAGGCGCAGGACAGGTGGCGCTGATTTGACGGGCGCTGTGTGCGAACAGTCTTGAGCAGTGATTCCCTTCGGACAAGTCCGGGTCTCGAGGAGAAGGTGCGCAGCATGTGTGATCGATCTTCGCTCATGCGAAGCTTTGACGAGTGGGCGAAGGCAGAGTCGTTGACACCGTGATGGCTCGGGGAGGGAGAAAGTCCATGAACCACAACAGCCAAATCACTTCGCACGCCCAGCCTGGCATGCTGCTCTGTCGGGGATTTGCTCTGCGCATCTTTGCACAGTGTCCTAGAGAACACGACAGGAGAGACACCTTTGGAAGGGGATAGCATGGGACCTTCACGAAGGTGTACGAGCACGAGTCCTCCAGCTTCTTTGCCTCTCGTCTCCTTGATCGGTGGAAGCTCTCAAGGACTCGCGCGAAAGCTGCCCTGAAATACAGATATAATTATATAAAATTATATTATAGTATGATATTATATCATATCAGAGTTGGAATGAGTTGGACATGTTTCCCCTGACAGGATTCTGGAGCGCTGGAAGCAGCACACGGTCTTCAGAGCCGGATTCGCGTGCCCTGGCAGAAACAATGTTTGAATGATGGCTGGTTGTCGCTGCATTGGCGAAATAGCACTCTCCTTAGCTATGCTTGTGCAGACGTGGTGCGAAGCTGGTATTAATTGCTGTATACATACATACATACATACATACATACATACATGTATATATATATATACACACATACACACACATATACATATATATATATATGTATATATATATATATCTATACACATACATA